GAAGGGATGATTTCCAATAGGTCCAATGAGCCTAAACATGGAACATTCCTGGGAGTAAGTGGGGTGTGGTACAAAACTTCCTTCCTGCTATTCCGTAACAGGTAGACGATTGGGCCTCTCATCCTAGGAGACCTAAATCTGGTTTCTCCTATGTGCTTCAGGACCACATACCTGGGAGATATGCACAGAAGTAACACAGGTTTAGGAATTGAAGCAGGTCTGGAGTCAGCTTGCCATGGGCTTGAATTCTGACCTCCAACACTATGTTCCAGAGATGGGAATCACTTGCATATTTAAGACAATTTTGAATTACTTACATTGAGTTCTTCTGTAGCTTATTCTCTATCAATCCATTTGACTAGATCAAATGAAAAATCTCAGTTTGCTATAAGAAATGCCTCTCCAAGGATGGCCAGTGGATAATTTCTGTTGTTAACAATGGGGTAACATGAACTTTATCTTCAGCTTACTGGTCGTGCAACACACACTATCTACGCTGGTCTCAGATAGGCACAGCTGACTTCTGGGGAAAAGAAAGGTGATTTGTTTGGTTTATAAACAAAGAACTCTCAAAAAGGATACTGTTTTAGGAACCTAAAGACAGGTAGGAATAGTTCCTATAGTAAGTCAGGGTAAATATCTTTTTGGTAATATTTAGAATGCAAATTGATTCAACTGGAAGTCAGGAGATGTTAGCCTCAGGGCAAATCAGAGGCAAAAACTGACAGTGTGATAGAGGTAATAAATTTAAATCCTCTTGAAGGGTCTAGAAAATGCATTCTGAAGTAGAATCTTATAATTCGTTAAGACTCAATAAAAGTCTAGAGCTTTCTTGCCTTCCCCTGAAAGTACCCCAGGGAAAAAATGCCTGTCTAGAAAGCAGAGACAAAAGTACAATGACCCCATTTTAATGTGGCATTCCAAAATGGCACACTGACTTTCAGGAAAGGAACAGAAAGGTTTGCAATTGTGCCTAGAGGCCTATGCTCTTAGGTAATCTAGTTTGATTATTAAAAACCACAAAGGAGAGAAAGATAAACAGAAGGTAAACAGCAGAAAAAGTTAAAAATAAAATATCAAAGACAGCTTCTCCTAGCACCACACTATATCCCTTCAGGCAACTGAATGCAGAGCTGACAAACCAATGACAGGAATGAAATGAGCTTTCTAGACTGCTCTGGCCAGAGCACAAAATCCTTGAACAATAATGGGAGGAGGAGCTGATACTGGGTTTTTATGAAATTAGAATGCATTGAAAAGGAGGTTGTTGAGAGAAAGGCCAAGAAATGCACAATTTTAACTATCTGTTGTCTGGAGGGTTGAATCATAGTCTATTGCATGCAAACCCAGAGCCTTAATCTCTGTACTTATCTCTGCAGCTCTAAATACATAGTTTAAGCAAACAAACAAAAGTTTGAAAGTGAGAATACAAGGATTGTATTTTCTAATTAAAAATCAGTCATACAATGAGATATTCTCTTACACCGAAAAGAATGGTACACATAAAAAAAATACTGGAAACAATCAGTGTTGGCAGGGATATAGTGGAAAGAAGGAATTCTCATCCACCACTTGTGAGGAGTTGTCTTGTTCAATCCCTGTGGAAAACAGTATTGAAAATTCTCATGAAGCTAAGAATTGAGCTGCCATATGACCCAGCAAACATACTTCTGGATATCTACCCCCAGACTCAAAAAAGATTCACTCAACAAACAAAACAAAACAAAACAACCACAACATGCACACTGTTATTCATTGCCACACTTAGTATGATAGCTCTGAATCAACCTAAGTATCCAAGGACAGATGAGTGGGTAATATAGATGTGGCATATAAACACAATAGGATACTGTGAAACTGCAAGAAATGATGAAATCATGCAAATCACTGCAACTTCAATGAACTGGAGGATACTATGTTAGTGAGATAAGCCAGAAGGACAAACACAGGATGATCTCACTTATCTGCAATAAAAAGAATAACTGGATGATGAAACACAAGGTATTTTAGAGATGGGGGAATGCCTAGATCACCATTGACCTTAGAGTAAAGGAAGGACAGAGAGGGAAAGAAATTGAGGGGGTAGCAGGAAAAAAGCATATAGGAAATAAAGGCAGGAGGGCTCAAGGGACTCAGGTTACATTGGGGGTGTAAAGGAGTGGTATAGCTATATATCCAAATGGCAGAGTCAACAACCCAAATAAACCACTACAATCAAATTTAAAAATGTGACTGTCAAGGAGACAGGCTGGTGGGTCTGGGATGGGGGAACGGTAGGAGGAAACCTGGGGACACTGGTGGGGGGAAGTTGATACTGGTGGTGGATTGGTATTGGAACATAGGTGCTGAAAATTCAACTATTTACTTTGTAAACCTCACTCGCTTAATAAAAAATAAAAAGAAAATAAGAATTTTAGATAGTAAAGTAAACATAATTTTACAAGATGGGTTAGAGTGACTTGTGCATATTTATATGCATTGATATATTGGAGTACACACTTTATTTTGTTTAAGGCTCCAATTAGAACAGATGGAAGTAAAAAAAAATCACAGTCACTAAGCAGTTAATACACAAATCACAAATCATCCTGGTATTCGTTGATTGCCTCGAGCAGGCCCCAGTAACGTCTCCTTCATCCTAGCCCTGAGATGATATTCAAGGCTCTTTAGGAGAATGAGACCCATCATTGTTACTGGTATTTGGCATATTGGGTACGCCACGGGGAGTTTGCCAGACTCTGCCCTATGGGCAGGCTACATTCGATAGCCTGCAAGTTTGTCCAAAGTAGGAATGAGATAAGCAGTTAATACAGTTTTGAATTAATTGGATTCCTACAAATGTTTGTTCACTAATTGTTTTTTTGTATGTTTTTGGATTTTGTGCCATATCTAGTGATGCCTGGGGGTCACTCCTGACTCTGCCCTCAGAAATGGCTCCTGGCACTGCTTAGGGGAACATATGGGATACCAGGGATAAAATCTGGGTTAGCTATGTTCAAAGAAAGTACTCTTCCTTCTGTACTCTTTTCCAGCCCCCCAATTTTTCTTTCTAAACTTGTATCTAATCGATTTTGGCACCTTATAAGCACACTTACATAACACCAGATGAAGCAGATAATTCTTTTTTTTTTTTTGAGAGAGAGACATGATCACATTTTAATCTGCTCAAGTACTTTTTTTTTATTAGTGAAACACCAAGAGGTACAGTTGTAGACTTTCAAGTTGTTGTGCTTGGGTTTCAGTTATGCAATGATCGAGTACCCATCCCACCACCAGTGCCCATTCTCCACCCCCCCAACCCCATCCCACCCTGTTTCTGTGTCAGGGAACTCCCTTTTGTTCTATCTCTCCTTTTGGGTGCTGTGGTCTGCAGAAGAGACATTGGGTGGCAATCATGTTCGGTCCATAGATTACTTTCAGCAGGCATCTCCCATCCTGGGCAGATCTTCCCAGCACCCTTTATTTGCTGCTCCCTTTTCTATCTGAGCTGCCTTTACCCCTAGAGTGTGCGACTGGCCTCTAAGTCATGGAGTGAACAACCTGGTATTTATCACAGCTGTTCTCGGGTGTTAGTCTCTTATTTTGTTACTTTATGTTCCCCAGATGAATGCAATCTTTCTATGTATGTCCCTCTCTTTCTGACTCATTTCGCTTAGCATAATATTTTCCATGTAGTACCACTTGTATGTAAATTTCATGACTTCATCTTTTCTAACAGCTGCATAGTACTCCATTGTGTAGATGTACCAAAGTTTCTTTAGCCAGTCATCTGTTCTTTGGTACTCAGGTTTTTTCCATATTCTAGCTATTGTAAACAGTGCTGCAATGAACAAACAAGTGCAGATGTCACTTTGACTATACATTTTTGCCTCTCTGGGATATATTCCCAGTAGTGGTATTGCTGGGTCAAATGGGAGCTCAATTTCTAATTTTTTGAGAATCGTCCATACTGTTTTCCAAAAGGGTTGAACCAGTCAGCATTCCCACCAGCAGTGAAAGAGGGGCCCTTTCTCGCCACATCCGCACCAACACAGGTTGCTTTTGTTCTTTTGAATGCGGGCCAGTCTCTGTGGTGTGAAATGATATCTCATTGTTGTTTTGATCTGCATTTCCCTGATGATTAATGATGTAGAATATTTTCTCATGTGCCTTTTAGCCATTAGGATTTCTTCTTTGAGAAAGTCTCTGTTCATTTCATTGCCCCACTTTTCGATGGGGTTGGATGTTTTCTTCTTGTGGAGTTCAACCAGTACTTTGTATATCCTTGATATCAACCCCTTGTCGGATGTGTATTTAGAGAATATCCTTTCCCATTCTGTAGACTGTCTTTGTATTTTGGTCACTGTTTCTTTTGAGGTGCAGAATGCGAAGTGGAGTAAGGAAAGCCTTTTTAATGAATGGTGCTGGCAAAACTGGACGGCTACATGCCTAACACCATGTACAAAAGTAAGATCAAAATGGATCAAAGACCTCAACATCAGACCAGAATCCATAAGGTACATTGAAGACAAAGTTGGCAAAACCCTTCATGACATTGAAGCTAATGGTATCTTCAAAGATGGCATGCCACTGGCCAAGCAAGTGAAAACGGAGATAGACAAATGGGACGATCTTAAACTAAGAAGCAGATAATTCTTAACAGGAAAAGCTGTTCAGAGGGGAGATTCTTGTCTGAGGTCTATTATCCGTAAGGAAGTCTATTGACAGGATTCCCAGATGAAATACAGGATGCCTAGTTAAATTTGAATTTCAAATAAAAATAAGATTTTTAGTCTAGGTATGCTCTAAAATGTATACCAACCCAACTTATTAATACTTTTCAGGAGATTGGCTGTAAAACTTTCTACCAAAATTTTTAACCTGTGATCATGTCCCAACAGCTAAACAAGTTAAAACCCTAAAGTTGAAATCAGTGCCTAAAGGTTGGGCACTGACTCCTGCTCAGGCTTTTGCAGCCACTACAGGAGGGTTGGTCTCAGTGATGAAGTGCAATGGCTTACCTGCCTCACTGAAAGTAGGCCCGCAGTGCTGCAGCTTCTGCTGCCATCTCCTCTTCTGATCTCCACAAGGCTGGGGAGTCCTCCTCCTCTTTGTCATGCTTCTGGAGCTTCAGAGAGAAAAATAGAACAGGTTTATTGATGGTTCTTTGGGGACTCCTTGACCAAATGATGTGATGTCTGAGTTCACACATTAGAGGTATATGTCTTTCAGTTGTCAAAATTTGAAAGCAAAGAGGTTTCAGGTAAGAGCTCATGTTTCTAGCTTCTCTAATAAAACAACTACAGGAGAATAGTGAGGTATGTTGACTGCGTTGAACTGTTGGCTGAAGCTGGGTGGACGAGGGTAGGTGCTCATAGACTGGGGGGAAATCCTTCAACACACCATAATCTATAGCAATAATCCTTGTAAGCTTGGTAGACATCACTCATTTATTTTATTGCCGAGAATCCAATGCATTGAGTTTGCCTTTAACCCAGGACTTCCCCCCACCATGCCCCCCGTGGTGTGTGGTTTACTCTGTTTGGTTTGGCAGTTCTTTTTGATGAGCTCTGTGCAGTTTTGTTCATTGAACCAAAATATCCCGAGAAAATTGATAGCAATAATACTAGAGTCTTGAACACTAAGAAATGAGTACATCCATTAAAAGTCATCAAGCTAGGGGGCTGGAGCAATAGCACAATGGGTAGGGCGTTTGCCTTGCACGCAGCCAACCTGGGTTCGATTCCCAGCATCCCATATGGTTCCCATGAGCACCGCCAGGTGTATATCCTAAGTGCAGAGCCAGGAGTAACCTCTGTGTATTGCCAGGTGTGACCCAAAAATAAAAAAAAAGCCATCAAGCTAGTAAATAGTAAAAGAAATTACATGAGGAAACAACTTATCAAAAATCAACAAACGGGGGTGGAGAGAGAGTATAGCAGGAGAGGTACTTATTTCTTGCCTTACACACAACTGGCTCAGTTCGATCCCCAGCACCACATATGGTCCCCTGAGCACCACCAGGTGTGACACAAAAACAAACACAAAAATGAAAATTGGTTTTAATAAACTGAACCATTTAAAATGTTTCTTCAGAAACCTACACTTAAAAATCACCTCATGTAAGTCTCAAATTTACATATGGAGTAAACAAAATTTTAATTCTTGAAAGTTGTCTTAAGAACTCTTCATTAAAAGATTTTGATTTCCCCTGTACTCTATTTCAATCTAGTTTTATTAATTAAATGTGTTGCTCCTCTGTGGCTGTATACCTTATACAACGCTAAGCAAATTATTCATAGGAAATGCTGTGATGTGAGGAGATTAAGGCAAATGATTTAGCAGCATCAATACTGACTACTATCTATGAGCTAAAGGGCCATTTTTTTGACATTTATTGTTTCATAGTATGTTATTCATTTAACTAAAGCAGGCACTTCTTAGCCACCATCTTACTGAGGCACAAATTGAAATCAGAGGAAGTTCATTCATTTGTCAAAAGTCACTCCGCTAGATAAGTTAGGGAATGGAATACCAGGGCAATGGTGGAGCTGAAAAAGTACCAGTCACAGAGGCAGACTGCGGGATGGGATGGAAACTAGGTACATTGGTGGAGGATAGTGGACTCTGGTGAAGGGATTGGTGTTAGAACATTGTTCTCTTGAAACTCAATCATAACTATCTTTGTCACTTTCTAATTTACAGTTATTCAATTAAAAAACAATTTTTTAAACAAAAAAATGTCATGCAGCTAGAAAGCAGAAGTGCCAGGGTGGGGGCTGGAGTGATAGCACAGTGGGTACTGCGTTTGCCTTGCACTCGGCTGACCCGGGTTCAATTCCCAGCATCCCATATAGTCCCCTAAGCACTGCTAGAAGTAATCCCTGAGTGCATGAGGCAGGAGTAACCCCTGTGCATTGCTGGGTGTGACTGTCCCCCCGCAAAAAAAAAAAACAAGTGCCAGGGTGGTTCCTAGAAACACTTGACTTTTTCCTCTATCCTAGAGAAACTACATTAATTTTCACCCATTCTCTGTCCATCAGGTGCCTTCACTCTAAAGAGGGAGGCCTTGCAAAGAATCTTGCCGACTCAGCATTAAGTCTGTCAAACTGAAATGATGCGTTCGCTATCGCAGTTCCAAGCCACTCTAAATCTCGCCCAGTGATTCCCACCAGCAGCAGATGGAGAAAGGTCCCTGTTATTTCAGAGCAAACTCTGATACAGACGGCAAAACAGTGAGGAAACAATAGCCTGGTTCTCCAGCTGAGCTTCTTTCCACTTGGGGTAAGTTTGAGCTGAAATGAAGTTCATTAGCATATAACTGGGCCGCAAATACGTTTATGAGGGTCATGGATCTTCCGTTCAGAAGTTGGCTGCCAGCATGCTGGTTTTACATTTTGCCACATAGATTTAATTCTCCTCTGTGGAAGAAAACCACATTAAGAAGTCATTTCCTTCCGCGCAGAGGCTGATATGACTCAGTTGCTACAGGCAAGTCAAATGGGATTACTATTTTTCTGCTCAAGAACTAATTTTCATTTTGATACTAGCTTTAGGTCTGTTATAAATCCGTCTTCTAACAATTCAAGAGGATGACAAAGAACAATGCGGAACACAGACAACAGAGCCTTCCAGTTCTGGTACTGCCATGAGAAGACACAGAAATCAAGCATTAAGTGGCCTCATCAACGCAGATCATGCCAGATGAATCCAAATAATTTAGAGCCCACAAACGTTAATGCCTCCCTAGTTATTAGGGGACCGTCTGTTATTGTCATATGCTTTACAGATGGCAACGTTGTGCTAACGCTTACAAGTTGTTTACGGGAAATAGGAAATAAATAAAACAAAAACTAATCATATTTGCAAAGCACTGTGGTATGCATTTTTTTTAAATGTAGAGGCTTCCGTTTTAAAAGCCCCAGATGAAAGCATGCCATTTTATTTGAAACAGCCAGGCTCAATACTGGCAGTCCTTTGCAATCACCTAGGGTACCTCTAGCCCAGGACTTCTGATTTAATTTAATTTAATTGGTCTAAGGAAAACTTGTGTTTATGTGTGTGTGTGTGTGTGTGTGTGTGTGTTGTTGTTGTTGTTGTTGTTTCAGGCAAACTGAAAGTGCACCTACTTTTGGGAAGCACTGTGTTTGGGAGAAATATGTGTACACGTATGCTGATAGAGCCCATACAAATGCGTAAGTCACCATTTCCCCTTCAAACTCATTACTTGTGGCTCTACCAGGAATTGTGTCATTCAATAGGATGACAAAGAATTGTATTGTTAGAAGACGTAGTTATAACTGACCTATCCTTTAGCAAAGCCTGCTCTTGACTTGCTTTTCTTCCATCCCCTGAGCTCCTTTGAAGAAGCATGTTGCACAGGACTTATCCTATCAATACCAGGGTCCTGCTGTAGTTCAGAAGCCTTTGAATGGGGTTTTCGTCTCTGCAGGGATGAGGAGATCACAGGTGGGTAGAGAGAATGGAGGTTTGTGTCCTAAAAGGGACACCCACATGACTTAGACATTAACCTGTTTTGTTAAGCCAATTTCTGATTTTCTAGAGCAACCCAAGGACCTGATAGCTGTAAGCCATTGTCTGGACTAACAAAGATATGCCTTAAAAATTTCCAGCAGCCACTTATCCTAAAGGCACTGTTTGCCTTAGGCAAGACTTAATTTCCCTTCACAGGAACCTTCCAGATTACTTTAGGCAGTCCACAAGGAAAGACATAACTACTAGGAGATGCCAGATAGATATTTATTGTGTCTTTGCAATGTTGGAGGTTAAACCAAGCACTGAACCAGGCAGAGCTGCTTAACTAGCCTCAGAGGGTATGCAGATAGAAAGGAGTAGACAGCAGATAGTTAATGTGTGAGTGAGCAAGGTACACATTACCAAACAGGAAGGATCAAAATAGTTAGAAAGGCTTTCAAAAATCAACTTACTTTTATGGAAAAACAAAGTTAAAAGGTGGTGGGAAAGAGGGGTTAATCTAAGGAGCATCTAAGCCAAGGTCCTCCAAGATCAAGTTAGACACACATTTTAACTATGCGGCATGCCTCAGTTTCCCACTCTCTAAAACATTAGGGAAATACGTCTCAGTGGTAATGTACTTGGCACACTGGTACATTGGTACCTATGTAGTGTTCATTTGTGGCTATGAGGATGAGGAAAACAGGAAAACAATATTCCAGCCTGGCTGTACGCAGAGGATGTGTCCATAAGTAAACTGCCTTTACTATCCTCATGGTTTCCCGTTGATCTGAGTCTTTTGACCCTTAACTGGTCTGTAAAATGATTAAAAGCTATTACTGTGCAGAATGCAGAACCAAATTCACTATTTCAATGAGACATCCAAAACTCAGGAAGAAATTTAGCAACTTTGAAAATGACCAGCAATAATCCTCTTTGTGTTGTGGTAAGAAGAGCATAAAGTCTTAATCGAGGATCCTCAGAGGTAAAGGTCCTTAGAGTAAAAGCATGTGGTGAAGGTCAAATGCAGTCAAAATTACCCTGAAAGCATTTTTTTACAGCTTTTTCAAAGAATAATAGAGGACCCCCAGTTAATGTGCTTTAGCTTATCTCATGCAGTAATTTGGCACATACTCAAACTAAATATAGCTTATCTTAAATTCAAATGTAACTAGGATTTCTATATTTTTCTGGCAACTCAATCTAGGAGAACCCTTAGAAAGATACCATAGGAAGTACTTTTCTGCCATTTTGCGCCCCCCAAAACCTTCCTAGTACTGAATACTGAAATAGAAGGAGAAGGAACAAATGAAAGGCTATCGTTTTGTGCACTCTAGGTCAGATGTGATGGAGTTCTCTTTGCATTAATGATGCTTAACTTTTGAAAGACAATCTTAGAAGATTCTGGTAGAAAGTTTTAGAGCCAAATCTCCTTTTCAAAATGCATCTTCTTACCAACTTTTCATACAATGGAAAAGGGACTCATGGATCTTGTGAAAATTAACAATAGGTAGGATTGACATGTACTTTTAGGGCATACCTAGACTTACAAATCCTATTTTTTAGTTCATATGAAATTTGAATTTAACAGAGCATACTGTGTTTTATCTTGCAACCCTGTCAATACACTTCCTCAAGGATTATAAATGCCAG